GATCTGAATATTCACTCTTTACTTACTCAGGGCACTGACAGAAGTGACATTTGTTGTACGATCACAACTGGAAGTGCTCTGCACCCATGCCATGATACACATGCATGGCTGCAGAGTGTTTTAAAAGTGGCTGATCACATGACAAATTAACCCTCATCTAATGAGGGATCAGATGATGGTGCTCCAAAGTAGAGCACCTTAGATTAATGTCAATCTCTGCTCAGTGCTGTCTGCAAGAAGGGAAGGGGAAGAAGGGAGGGGAAGGGAGCTGCAGGCTGTGGTTTTAGTACAGGATGAGCAAACCCCGGCCTGCAGTTCCCCCTTCCTCTTCTCCCTCCTCCCCTCCCTTTCTGCAGACAGCATTGGAAATTGTGGCTGGGGGTCAGTCCGCCCGATCATGGGATAGGCAGGCAGACTCAATTTCCTCCCTCCCCCTGTTGTGCAACATTCATCTGTTGGGTCTGGTGGGGTCATTCTAATTCATGGCACTTTATGCAAAGCACCATGAAGTTAGAGTGGAAACCTGCATGTCATGCAGCTCCTTCAAACATTCTTATTCATGCTGATCCCATTGGTGTTTTTGTATCACCTCCAATGAAACTAGTTATATGAATAAGAATTTGTAAGTTAAATTGTCCCTCCACCACTGTCCTATATGTGATGATGATGCAGTTTAAGAGCGAAGTAACACATTACACTTAGACCACAATAAGGGCACTTAAAATGAGAGTATCTGCATGTTAACACTCATTAATGCATGCTAAGTGCCCTTTGAGCTTCTCAGAGTGGGCTTTTCACATCCCAGATGAGTGCACCTGACTGTCTGGTTTTCAAGAAGAGAGTTTTTCTCTTTTTTCTTTTTAGTGAAAAATTTTGCAAGTTCTCAGTTCTATAGCAACATAAAGCTGGAAAATTTTTGAAATCTCGGTTTTGGGAGATGGAAAGATCTCTTTTCCATCCAAACTCTAGTTGCTATGTAAAGCTTTCCCTTAAATATTTTTCTTATAACACTCAACATGTTCAGAGTTCTGAGAAAATTCTACAAAGGGGATGGAATGTATTATGTAATTATACATAATAAAGTAGCTTGGTATGATTTCACTGTGTTTTTCACCTTGAGGGAATTATTTGTTTTGCAGATTCCAATGAACATGTGTTATTAAATCTATTCAATTCTTGAGACTGCTTTAGAATTAAAACACTTGCAGTAAACAAATTGATAGCATTGGATTTGGTGCCAAGGTTAATCTTCCACTTAAACGTTATTCTTGGAGAAAAAAAGGCTTTTAGTAGAATGTTGTTATGCTGCATTTAGTTGTGAACAATAGCAGTATATAAAAATATCTGGTATTATCTGGTGTAATCATTTGAAACTGCTCACCTGATACAGATCATATTAAGGCAGTATAAAGAGAATATAGTCTTTACATTTTAAAGGGATTTATTCAGAATTCTTTAAAAAATAATGGCAGACAAGGTTCCTTGGGTGAATTTGATATCTTTTATTAGACCAACCCAAATAGTTGGAGAATATTTATTAAGCAAGCTTTCGGGTTCAAAAACCCTTCGTCAGGCTAAGGAAGTTTCAGCAGTTTGTGTGTGCTCTTCCTGGATGGAATGAAAAGTAAAGAAGCCAGGGGCTGGGCTGGGGAGTCAGTTGCCAGGCAGATTATAATGTATCAAAAATCCAATGTCTATGTTTAGTCCATGATCTCTAGCATCCAGGAGGTTGATGAAATGGAGCTCATAGGCTCATCTCTGGGAAGTGTTGTGTAAGTTTCCCTTGAGAATCAGGACTGAGAGATTGGAGAGAGAGTGGCCCTCCTGTGAGAAATGTGCCCCCACCGGTAATTGAGTGTTTCTGTCTTTGATAGATTTCCGGTGTGCATTCATTCTGGTGCGCAGTTGTTGTTTGGTCTCTCCTACGTATTTTCCATCAGGGCATTTGGTGCATTGGATGAGGTATATTACATTTGTGGAGGTGCAGCTGTAAGATCCTGGGATGCTGATGGCTCTGTTGTGGGGTGTAGTAATTGTGGGGGTGGTGGAGATGTGTTGGCAGGGTTTGCATTTCTTGTCATGGCAAGGTCTGGATCCTTTTGGTGTGTTCTGGGGTTGAGGAAGTTTGCTTCTGGTGATGAGGTTGGCGAGGTTCGGTGCTTGTTTGAAGGCTAGGATGGGTGGCTCTGGGAAGATCTTTTTAAGAATAGGGTCTCTGTCTAGTATGGGTTGCAATTTTTTGAGGATTTTCCGTACAGGTTCAAGGGAGGGGTGATACATCATAACCAGCGGTGTGCGATTTGTGGGGGGTTTTCTTCTGTACTGCAGCAGTTCTTCATGTACTGCTCTCTAGCATGGAACAGGAGAGGCTCTGGAGCTCCCCCATGCCTGCTACAACAGAGTCAGACTGCTCCACCAGCGGTGAACAGCTGCTCCACCAGGAGCTCATCTGGTTAGAGACTGCAACAGCAGCATACAGAGCCCTGCCTGGCTCCCTGCCAGCAAGGGAGATGGGGGAACCTGAGCCAGGCAGGGACTAGATTCTGCATGCTGCTGATGCTATCCCTGGCCCTGGCCCAGCTAGGCTTCCTGCACAGCTGCTTCCCACAGCTCCTAGCTGTGATATTCCTTTTGGAGATGAGGCTTTGTTTTCCCCACGATGAATGGGGGAAAAATACCTTGTCTTGGAATGGAGTAAATGCAGTATCAAATACATATGAAGTTCTCAGGTATCTCTCCTTAGATACCTGTATCTGTACAATTCATTGATTACTGATCTGAGGCTGGAATACAGAGGTATTCAAGAACAGTAGGGATTAACCTAACTCCAGATCAGCGTTTGGAGGAAAGAGCAGAGGCAAGACAAGGTCCCCTCTCCTCTGCCTGGTCATTCCCAGGCTTGTGTGATTTCCTCTCTGAGTCCTTCCTCTCTTCCCCTAAGAAACATTCTATTAACATAGTATGCCTAATGGCTTTTAACATTTTTTGGTGTTTTGTACCCATCGAGTGTCTGAAAATTTTGCTTACAGCTTATCATTTCCCAGAATCCCTTAGGTTACAGAATGGAACATTTTGAGGTTTCTTAATAGGAGACTTCAGATGGTGCTTTTACTATATTTCTCCTTTGCTTTCTCTGTTGGTTTAGGCCTGGGGTTGGCAATCAAGGGCGCACAGGCCAGACACAATCTACAGTCATTGGATCCTGCCCACAGACATGAAGCTTTAATGGCATTTGGCAGCAGGGGCTTCTCCCATGCTGTGGTGAGAGCTTTTCCTGTGCTATGGCAAAGAGAAAGTGCAGTGGCAGAAGCTTAACCTGTGCCACAGTGAAAAGAAGCTGCAGTGGTGGACAGGTTGTAGCACTTACCTACCTGTGACCTGACCTGGGGTGTTCTGGCCCACAATCTGAAAAGCTTGCCGACTGCTGTTTTAGGTCAGAATCCTAACTCACTTTTTGCACCAAAATGGTATATACCTAGCCATGTAATTGCCATTTTTGGCCAGATTAGTGAAATTTACACACAGTTGACAATCATATTTTTTGGGCAGTGTGGATTTGAAAGCATCTACAAAGGTTACTGAGCTTATTCAGTAGGCTACACTTTGGCTAGGCAGGCATGTGGCTCCAGAATTAAAAAAATAATAACAATAGCATGGCCCTATGCATTAGATTGGGTGCTCTGGGAGGTGTAGGGCCAGCACAAGGCCCAATCTGGGTGTACAGGGGCTGCTGTGGGGCTGATCCTTGCATTCAGGGCTGATCTGTAGCCACCCGCACATACCCTATAACATCTTCCCTGCCTCCTGGTCCCATCTCTCTCTTTCTCTCTCTCTCAACTGCTAAAGAAGCCAGCTGAGAGCTGAAACAGAGGCAGCAACAGAAGGAAGTTTGGATGGAATTACTTTTCTCTCCTTTACCTCTTTGGGTCCCCATTACTTCAGGATTCTGCTGCTTTCCCAGCCAGAGAAGTGACTCCTTGGTGACTTATGTCTTTCAACCTACTTCCAGGTTGCAATACTTCTTTAGAACCCAACATTGTGAAAGAGCGCTAGAAAGGATATTAAGAGTTGTTCTTTCCAGTTGACTTTTTTATGCGCACATTAAAACAAAATCAACCCCTCACCCCCCCCC